CTGTGGAGCAACTGGCTCAGAGGGTCCAGGAGATGGAAGAGGACATGTCCTACGTTCCACCTGCACGGGCTAATGTCTCAACCATTAGAAGTAAACGTTTCCCCACCCAAGAGAAAGGCAGCAGAAGGTACACACCACGAGGCACCCTGTGGTTTTTCCTCCGTGACCACGGAGAGAACATGAGGAGGCGGGATGGACAGCCCAATGCCGCCCTAGCTGCACAAGCAGAGCAGCTGAAAAGGAGAACCACCACGGAAGGGGAGTCCTCCAAGAGGAGCACAGCTCCATTATGTAGTCAGAAATCCCCCAGGCAGAACAGAATGGTGAACGTTATGTCTGACCCTCTTGAGGGGACCAGTAAATCATTCTTGCAAGAAGTGAGTGATGATGAGCAGGATTAGAGGGGCCCTGCCTCCAGCCAGGTGAAGGAAAGGGATAATCGGATTTACTGGACAGTGTGGATCCGATCGCCTGGCACATCAGACCCACAAGAGTATAAGGCTGTGGTCGACACCGGCGCACAGCATACCCTAATGCCATCGAGGTACAGAGGGGTTGAATCCATCTGCATCTCCGGAGTGACAGGGGAATCCCAACACCTGACCCTACTGGAAGCTGAAGTGAGCCTGACTGGGAAGGACTGGCATAAGCACCACATTGTGAATGGCTCAGATGCCCCGTGAATCCTGGGCATAGACTCAGGATCTCAGGAGAGGGCACTTCAAAGACCCAAAAGGGTACCGGTGGGCTTTTGGTGTAGCTGACCTGGAGGAGGTTGAACAGTTGTCCACCTTACCCGGCCTCTCAGAGGATCCCTCAGTGGTGGGGCAGCTTAAGGTTGAGGAGCAGCGAGTGCCGATTGCTACCAGGACAGTGCACCAGCGGCAGTACCGCACCAATCGAGATTCCCTGGTCCCCATCCATCAGCTGATCCGTCAAGGAGAAAGCCAGAAGGTTATCAGCAAAACTCACCCCCCCTTCAACAGTCGTATATAGACAGTGAGAAAGCCTAATTGTGAATGGAGGCTAACTGTGGACTACCATGACTTGAATGAAGTTACACCAGCAATGAGTGCTGCAGTGCCAGACATGCTAGAGCTCAAGTATAAACTGGAGTGGAAGGCAGCCAAGTGGTACGCCACGATTGACATTGCTAATGCGTTCTTCTCCATTCCGATAGTGACAGAGTGCAGGCCACAGTTTGCTTTCACTTGGAGAGGCATCCAGTACACCTGGAATAGACTGCCCCAGTGGTGGAACTACAGCTCCACCATTTGCCATGGACTGATCCATACTGCACTGGAGAAAGGTGGGGCTCCAGAATACCTGCAGTACATCGATGATATCACTGTATGGGGGAACACAGCTGAGGAAGTCATTGAGAAAGGGAAGAAGATAACTGAAATCCTCCTGAAGGCTGGCTTTGCCATTAAGCAAAAGAAAGTTAAGGGGCCTGCAAGGGAATTTCAATTCCTAGGAATAAAATGGCAAGATGGGTGTCGCCACATCCCAATGGAGGTGATAAAGAAGGTAAACAGCCATGGCCCCACCAACCTCTAAAAAGGAGACTCAGTCTTTCCTGGGTGCTGTGGGGTTCTGGAGGATACACATCCCGAACTACAGCCTGATTGTGAGCCCTCTCTACCACGTAACCCGTAAGAATAACGATTTTGAATGGGACCCTGAGCAACAACAATCCTTTGATCAAATTAAACGAGAGATTGCCCAAGCAGTAGTCCTCGGGCCTGTCTGGGAAGGGCAGGAGGTTAAGAACATGCTCTATACTGCAGCCAGGGAGAATGGCCCTACCTGGAGCCTTTGGCAGAGAGCACCTGGAGAGACCCGAGGCCGACCTCTAGGATTTTGGAGCCGGGGATACAAAGGCTCTGAAGCGAATTACACACCAACTGAGAAGGAGATAGTGGTAGCATATGAAGGAGTTCGGGCTGCCTCAGAAGTAGTTGGCACTGAAACATAGCTCCTCCTGGCACCCCAACTGCCGGTGCTGGGGTGGATGTTCAAAGGAAAAGCCTCCTCCCCACATCATGCAACAGATGCCACGTGCAGTAAATGGGTTGCACTGATAACACAACGGGCTCGAATAGGGAACCCCAGCCGCCCAGGGATACTAGAGGTGATTACGAACTGGCCAGAGAGCAAAGATTCCGGGATGTCACCAGAACAGGAGGTGACACGTGCTAAGGAGGCCCCACCATATAACGAGCTGCTGCATGAGGAGAAGCGTTATGCCCTGTTCACTGATGGGTCTTGTCGTATTGTGGGAAAACATTGACGCTGGAAGGCTGCTGTATGGAGTCCCACATGACGAGTCACTGAAGCTGCTGAGGGACAGGGTGAATTGAGCCAGTTTGCAGAGGTGAAAGCCATCTAGCTTGCTTTGAATATTGCTGAGTGGGAAAAGTGGCCAAGGCTCTACCTCTACACCAACTCTTGGGCAGTAGCAAATACCCTGTGGAAACGGCTGCAGTAATGGAAGAAGAAGAACTGGCAACATAAGGGTAAAACTGTCTGGGCTGCTGAAGTATAGCAGGACATTGCAGCCCGTGTGGAAAACCTGTTGTGAAGGTGCACCATGTGGATGCCCATGTACCCAAGAGTCGGGCCACTGATGAACATCAACACAACCACCAGGCAGACCAAGCTGCTCAGATTAGAGTGGCTCAGGTGGACTTCGACTGGTAGCGCAAAGGTGAACTGTTCATAGCCCGGTGGGCCCACGAGACCTTGGGCCACCAAGGTAGGGATGTAACATACAGGTGGGCTTGAGATCGAGGGGTGGACCTTACTATTGACACCATTGCAGAGATCATCCACGGATGTGAGACGTGTGCTACAATTAAACACGCCAAGCGGGTGAAGCCCCAGCGAAATGGGGAGCGATGGCTGAAATATAGATACGGAGAGGCCTGGCAGATCGACTACATCACACTGCCACAGACCCGCCACAGGAAGCGCCATGTGCTTATAATGATGGAAGTAACCTCTGGGTGGCTGGAAGCATACCCAGTGCCCCACGCCACCGCCTGGAACACCATCTTGGGCCTTGAAACCCAAGTCCTGTGGTGACACAGCACCCCAGAGAGAATTGAGTCAGACAACGGGACCCACTTCCGAAACAACCTCATAAATGCCTGGGCAGAAGAACAGAGCATCTAGTGGGCCTACCACATCCCCTACCACGCACCAGCCTCTGGGAAGATCCAGCACTACAATGGATTGTTAAAAACCACACTGAAAGCATTGGAAGGTGGGACTTCAAAGACTGGGACACGCATCTAGCAAAGGCCACCTGGCTAGTCAACACAAGAGGATCTGCCAGTCGAGCTGGCCCAGCTGAATCGAGACTGTATGTTCTGTAGATGGGGATAAAGTCCCTGTGGTGCGCATGAGGAATATATTGGGAAAAATGGTCTGCTTTAGTCCTGCACCAGGCAAAGGTAAAGGCAAACCCATCCACGGGATTGCTTTTGCCCAAGGACCTGGGTGTACCTGGTGGGTGATGCAGGACAATGGAGAGGTCCGATGCGTACCACAAGGGGACTTGATTCTGGGTGAGAACATGCCATAAATTATGCTGTGCCTGTGTAAATTATTACTTTGTTATTGCTAACTGTTAAATGGCAGCCGGACATGACGCAGATGGTATAGAATAAAGGGGTGGATTATGTCCTGGTTCAGCCAGGATACAATAAAGTTTTCCCCAGCAGAAAGAGAGGGGGAAGGGATCTCCAGCCGGGTTATTCATAGCATGCTGACATCAGGTCCAGGGGTGGAACCTTTTCCTTGCTCCTTGGCGGGTTTAGGAGGGAATTTTGCTTTCCTTAGATCATTTAGCGGTATTTCTCTGTATATCATTTGTCTTGTTCACTGTTATTGCTGTTTATTGCTGTTACCATTGTATTGTTGCTGTTCAGATTGTTCTATCACTCTGTTGTGTTAAATTTCTTGTTATGTTAGCCAGGGCCTGTGTCTAACTTTCAGCCCAACTGGCGCGGGTGGGGGAGGGGCAACGGCAACGTGGTCTCTGACCCCGGTGAGGATTAAAACTTGCACAGTAAAAACCTCTTCTGAAACTATTGATTTTGCTTCATCTGCTACTCATCAGCATTTTAACCAACCACCGAAAGGTGCAAAATTTGTGTTGAATCCGTAACCCTTTACTGAGATGCATGTTATGGTAGTCAAGTGCACTAAAACCTTGTGCTTTGGGGTGCTGCAGCACATACTACCAGAATGGGGAGATTCCTGCTGGTAATCTTCGTATCTCTACATATACAGTACATTACGTTCAGAGAACTAGAGCCAGGTAAGAGAATTAATATTACATATATTTTTACAGCTGTATTTGTCAACTTGGTCTTATAAAGTTCTGTCTATCACCCTCAGTTAAACAGCACCACTGACAAACACAGTTCAGATTTTCCTTTTTATCATTAGTAATTTATGTTTTACTGTTTTTCAGAGAAGCTTGTATATTTTTATATTGCAAAAAGGTAACTGATATATTATTCTGAATTTTTAAGGTTATATTTTACAATGAGTCAAAACTTACAAGAAATTTATAAGTTTTCATAAATTTTCTTTCAGAAGAGAAATTGTGAAAGTTCACTATTTTGTTTTAAATGGTCAATAGTTTCAACTTGTTAAAAAACCCGTTTTTTCTAATCGATATTCTGAATCCTTCTCTAAGTGCAGAACAGCCCAACATCTGAGTAAGGTCTTTGGCAGTGTAGCTTCACCTGAGAAATGTTCTAAACACTTCAGCAAAGTAATTATTCACATAAGTAAAGGTAATGAATATTGTGTAGAGTTAAATCTTTAGCAGACTAGATAGCAGACTGCAAAACAAACCATTCTGGCAGAATATGACAGTCTGTGGGAATTATCTTGGAACAAGACATGAAACAAATACATTTCTATAGATAACCAATACTTTGTGAAAAAATGGTTAGAGAACGAAGCAAATAGAGAAAAATTACCCTATATGTGTCTCTGTAGTTCTGCCTTCACCACTGAACACACATCTAGCTGCTAGGATGTCATCATAGCTAACATCTACAGGATGTTCTACTGGATAGAATGCCTGAAAGACAGGATGAATCATCATAACCAGTGAAAGAGTCTCATATTATTTATGTCAATATACACACACACGTACAAGAATGACAGTCCTACACACCTGAAAACATTATTTCAGAATGGATTTTGAATCATAATGTAATCATGATAATGCCTGGCAGTATTCACTTCCAATGGCACAACAAGTACCAGTGGAAATACCATGACACAAATCTGTGGGTACATTCTCAGTTTTAAATAAAGATAATTAAAATTTACACTTAGAATTAAAAAAAACAACCAACCTGTGGTAGTTGTGGACTCTGTCTACCAATCAATGTCCATTGATCGTTTCTCACTCTGTATCCACTCACTACTTTACCTGTAACATACCAATACGTATGTGAACATGAGACATACTTCTAGAAATTGAAGGTGTGGTGTCAGCAGTTTTCTGTTAAGTATTTGATATTCCTATGTTGCAATAAAACTCTTACCTAGTCTGTGTGTATGAACTCTGTAGGCAAAAAGGTGCATTGGAAACCTTTTGTAATGGCAGGCAATGTCTGCATCAACCACTGTTAAAATATGATGGCAATAAAGAAAAACACATCATCAAACAGAAAAGTTACTCTGCTGTGCTTCATTAATTCAGTGTGATTTACAAAAGATACACTGTACAAGAGAATTTCAAAAGATACTGGACAACATCTTATATTTCTGCAGTGTCTATCTCAAGACATCTGTAAAGAAAAAATAAGTATAGTACAAGTCACTTGAAAATTACTTTCTGTGATGATGTATATATAAAATGGGGCTAAAACTCAGTAGTATTTTTTCCAGCATACACTACTTCTATTTAATGAAGTAAAGTAATAGATTTGCTTACAGACTATGTTGAGGGACTACAGTAAACAGTCTATTCAGGAGAAAATGAAAATAAACTTATACAATTCTAAACTCATGCAATTTATAATGAAGGATTGATTTTAAGATCTTACAGTTCTAGGCCTAAAGATGAAGGGTTAGATGCAGACTTCAGCTGTACAGACAACATCTGTAAGCTAGTACTTGAGTTAGGTGCAGTAATAGTAGCTAAGGAAGAGCCTTCAGATGCCTCTTAGAGGTATATGGGGACTGGCTACATTTTTCCTGTTATAACAGATTTCATGCTTTACTTAAGAACTGCCAATTAGATTGAAGATGATAAGGCAGGTATCAACAGGAACAGAATTGTTTCTATTCCCCTTTCCCTCACTCCTCCAGCTGAAAAAGTAAATTTCTGCACTGATCAAATATTTTTGGGGGAGGGGATTCATTTAATATGTTTTCCTATTAAAAAGTAGAATATGTTGTTTCAATTCACATTAAAAAAGATTTCAAGTGCTGAATTCACTGAACAGTTGGAGTCAGCTGACCATTTGACCACCTAATCTTATTGAGGCAGCTGACTATAAATGGGACAAATGGTGTTCCTGGCTAATTTAAAATTCCGGTATAGCATAGGTAAATGTAAAGTCAGTGTTCAACTTCCTTAAAACAACATTCCATGCCAGCTTGAAGAAATTATATTGGGACTATCCAAGCTGAGTTTCAGGTAAAATCCACTGAGTAGGATTCTGAATAGAAACTGTTTGGAAATTTTGTTTTACAGTGTTTTTTTACAATTTGACCTTTTAGCCAACTAGTGACACAGGAAAGTTTTTAAAGAGCAACTTCTTAGTAGTAGAAATTCATTTATTAAAACTGAATTAGTAAATCCCAATTAGCATCAATGACAAATGCAGATGAAGTAAAAAAAAATAAAATGTTTTTTTGCAGGGGGAAGGAAGGAATAGAAAAATCAGGCAGGGCTTTTTTGGTAAAATATTAAGACAAAAAAACAAAACAAAAAAAAAATCAAAGAAACACTCTTAAGAATCCTAGAAGCTTCAGTATTCACAAAACATTATTGTTTTGTACAACATTTTGTGCTACAACACTGATTGTCTTTGCTGACATAGTCATTGGGAAATATACAATTTTAAAATAACTATTTTTTTCATCATTTAATTAAGCAATTAATTTGTCCATCTACAGTTCAGCAAGTCTCTGCTGAATTTTCTTCCACAATAAACAGCAAAAAAAGAAATCAGGTGTTGAAAATATATAATCACTTTGTAGAATTACAACTCACCTTTCTCACCTGGTGGTATTACAGTGTTCACAGACATCATAAGATACATTCCAGCAATCAAAGGCTGCCTGCAATTCAAAACCCAAGCTTTGCTAAACAAGTCCTTTGTAAAACTCTACCACAAGTAACATGATATGCAATACCATCTAACTACACTAACTTCTAAGTGTTGGATTACATTTGAAACTGGTCTACTGAAAAAGAAGATGTTACACAGCTACACAGCACTACTCTTTCCCTCCTTTTTTTTTTTTTTTCATACTGAGCTACAGTTTTTAAAGCATCTTCTACAAAGAATGTGAAATAGGACAAAATGATCATATAATTGCTGTCCCAGATTTCCAAATATGAAGTGCACAAGCTGGATTAACTCAGTACTGATAGCACCATTTCATCAAGTTTCTTAACAGAAACACAAATTTTTGCCAACAGATGACAGATAGCGTCAAAATTCTTAATATTGTGAAGTATGTATTATTTTCATTTCACATGTTTTCAAAGGAATCTAAAGGAGAGGTTTCCACACCTTCTGTTCTGATGAAAATAATCATAATAGATATTTGTAAAGATACTTACTTTTGACGTGTCAGATGTAAAGTTACACCAGAGCAGTCCTTGTGTTTATCTGTAAAAACCACAAAACAGTTTAATCATCAGCAAGTGTGAATCCATGCATAATCATTCCACATTAATAACATTCTTCTGCTGTATAAAGACAAAATAAGTTTTAGTTGTACTGTCTGCAGTAAAACTTGCATACTGTGGAAACATTACTTAAATTTGCACAAAGCAGAGTATCATGGTGTATCTGTAGCAAAATTATAATACAGAGCAAAACTTGTGGATAAAAACCTGCTTTTTTGGCACTAAAAACTGCAGATCTTTATGAACTAGTGTATGGGAGATGAAACAGTGTCGTTTTTACAACAGCAGAAAAAGTTGGTTTGCTTCAAACAAATTTGTATTTTGACAGGAGATAGAAAAATGAAAGATTTATGGAAAAGCAATGATTTTAGACATTAACAATGAAGCAGCCAGAAATCCTGGTAATAAAGTCAACAGGTGAACTCGTGAAATCCCAACATTGGTTCTGTTTAACACTGGATATTTTAGAAGGATATTAAAAACAGTTAATACATTTGTTAACGTACTGTATCAGTGTTATTTATTAAGTTTGACATTTTGATTTAAAGATATTACCTTGATGGTTACACAATTTTAACTGTTCATCTGGGAGTTAAATCTTCATTCTTTTCCTTTCCTTATGTTTATACCAAAAATAGCTGTAGTTATAAGATGCATATAACTCCACAGTCAGTAAACAGAAAATGCTGAAAAAATTCCCTCTAACTGTATATGCTTCAATTAAGAAAGCTAAGAGTACCTATGGGTCTGCTGACAAGTGGTAACTTGGGAGAGACTTTCCTCCCATTGGTAGCTAGATTCTAAACTGAAAAAAGCAGCACATTTGAAGAGAAGGATAATGACTAGAGTGGGACAAAACAGGGAGACTAGAGATTTATAAGTATCAATTTAGTTTTTCAAATGTTAGATGTTTTCATCACACCACATTTAATTATTAAAGGATAATATTCAGTTTGATTTTTACCACCACTGATGCTATAACTTCTTCAGTATGTTCAAAAAGTAGACAGTCACTATTTTTACAAAATGTATAAATTAGTACATACGTTATGCAAGTGAAAAAGTCGCTAACCCTATTTCACTAGGTTCTCACAATACTTATCACCATGGCATCTGAGAATTCTTAGTTTCTCCAGCTCTGTGTGTCCCAACAACTTCTTCTGTATCTAAAAATCTGAATCGATAAATCACAGCTGTACCTTTACAACTAACAATAAAAAAAGGAAAGTCTTCACTGTATATTTAAAGTAATAAAATTTAAAATGTAAAAAGTAATCGGTAGTTCTGAGTCTCTCAGTTTTGCAATTTGCAGTTGAAAACATCTTTATCCTGTCTTTTGAACACTGCTGAAAAACTATCCCAAAACAATAAAACCAAACTTGTCATATGCCAAACATGAGTCATGTTTGAAAAAATCTAACCCTTATTACATCATACTGTCTCTTTCAAAAATGGCACTGCAGGAGGAGGGAAACAACTCCAATGTACTACAGTTTGCCAGTATTAAAGTGTTTTCACACTATTTCATTTTCAGAGAATAGAAAAAATGTTCATTCAGTATTTTCACCTAAATTGACCAATTTCAACATGAACTGAAGACAGTGGAAAAGTTGTTGCTACTATACAAGACTATATACTAGTAGTATATATATATATACACTATCATATTAATCAGCATCAGGAGAAACACAAATCAACTTCTGGCACAAGACTGTGATCTGTAGTGCTGTGTCAAAAGTAAAATATTGGTCTAGACTTTTAAGAAATTCCTACAGCTCATATAACTTTGTCTGTGGTTATATTTAGCCATGACCGAGCTAAACATTTTTCTAACAACTACAGAAGTATGCTGGAAAAACTTTTTCCTTGCTTCTCCTTCCCCACAGGTCACCTCCTTGAAACATGCAAAGCTGCAGAACCCTCCACCCAAGAACACTGACTGCAGTGAGGCCATGCCCGTTCCGGATTCAAACTCTTCTCAAGCTTAGCTGTGTGACCTGAACAAAAATATCCTTAAACAATGCACAAACCAAACAAAATTCTTAAAGTCTCCTTTCCAGTCTGTCAGTCCAGCTTTATCTACATTGATTCCTGTGTTTCAGCTGCTCAGCAAATACACACTGCTATGGGACAAAGAAGTTACTAGTTACTATTTGCCATGCAGCAAAGACCAAAAATGCATTTTATGTACCTCAGAAACAGGTTCAAATGAAAGCCATGAAATTTTTGAGTTGGAAAGTCCACACAGAGTTTCCAAGTCAAATGAAACTGGAAGCTGTGCTTATGACTGCCTTTTGTGTGATATGCAAATATAACACAGTCAGATTAAATATTCCCTGTTTTTATTTAGACATGTCAAATCAAATCAATGCTGCATGTTAAAGCCTAACACTGGCTTCAGACTTTAAACACATAATTTTAAAAAATTGTACCTGATAAATTTGTAGTGGTTTACACATTTAACTGCCAATAAATGCTTGAATTAGTTAAAAGGAATCATCTGTGCTACTCGTGTTAATCATGCTTGCTAGGAGAAGCATCTCAAATACCAGAAACAGTGTTTCATTTGAAACACTCATAACTGAGAAGCCAAATTACCCTAAACAGAAATGCTCTCTTTCTGTAGGCTGATTTTGACAAAACTTTCAACGCAAGTCTGACAGGCTTCCTCTCAGTTTATTCAGATCTACAATCCTGATCTGTTTAGTTACATGTATAATAATCTGCCATAGAACTTGAGACTTCCAGGGTTTCCTAGATACTTAAAATCCTGTGGGTTTTTTATTCAGAATTAGAAAAATAAACACTCTTCAAAACCTACTCTCCTTTCACTCTGGGTATGTGGATTATAAATTATAGAGCACACTGTTTAAACTATTTATTCAGCTTCTTCATTGCTCTATTTCTAATACTTAATAGGAACAGTGTAGCACTCATAGATGGCTACTAGAATATGTAAAAGCTTTCACTGTGACACAGTGGTGCTTTTTATCAAGCTCCAAACCCCAGTCAGCCTAAGTCAGCCCTTAGATTTGTACCAGAATCTCCACATATGGTCTCAGAATCGGTTTTGCATTGTTAAAGATAAGAAGTAAGCTCAAACTTGGAGCACAATCTCTGAGCGAGGCATTTCCAAATCTAATGCCCACTGCAAAGTAACTTTGTGGAACTTATATTTAAAAAGACAAATACATGCAGCACAAAAATGAAGTCTTGGTAGAGATAAATTCAGTATGTTGCATTCAATATTGATACCTAATATTTGGTACACAGAAGAACACTAGCTGAATTAGGGGGTTTTTTTTTGAGAGTCAAAGTGCTTGCTCATCTGTTCACCATCTGAAATCAATTCAGCAAAATTATTTTTAAAAGTCTAGTAACATGTAGAATGAACTTCTACCTTTATTCAGACTGTGAAAAACAAAATGCAAGCACAGACTCCCCAGTGCCATTTTCACAACTTATTTTCCAAACAGAAAAGAGACAAACAATTGTTGATCCTGGTTCAGTATAACCTTTTACAAAATTAATACCTTGTAAAGGTCACAGATGACTGACTTGCTCAAAGGATAAAATAATATATCATAGATATGACTACCTGGGAATACGTAAAATGTATTTTATTCAAGACACAAATGTTAAATGTTAGGTTATCAAAAAGAAGCCCACTGAACCCAGTGTTCAAATAAGACTAGCAATCAAATGACAGCTTACAATTCACATACTTACGAAGAAAATTTTTAAGGTATCTACCAGCTTTGTGGCCAAAATTAATGACTCCCCCCCCAAAAAAATCCCCCAAACAAATCCAACCCTAAAAACCCTACAACCCCCTCACAAAAGCAGGTACATCTGTGATATTACATGTAATGTGGTAACATAATTCTTGTAGGGAATGATAGTGGGAAGAAATATATCTATTCTCCATGAAGAAGTGGAGGTTAGGAGAAGGAGCTGAGAACACAGATGTTATGCATGCCTTGTGCAAGAAAAGAGAGGGAACAAGCAAGGGAATGAGGAAGGAACCAAAGTTGAACAAAAATTAAAGAATTCCCCAAAAGGAGCTTTTGTCCATACTTACATACTGACAAAATTATTAATTGCTTCAACCAATGCAACAGTTACACATATAGAAAATGATAGAATGTGATTAACTTTCATACAGAACAAGTTAAAAGATTATTATTGATAATTTTTAATTACTTTGATCCTTGGGGAGAACATCTACATTCTCACATGTGCTGGAAAGGACATAGTATGGTGGGTTACAAACAACAGTAGTCTTTGCTTATAGGGAGAGTGGAAAAAAAAATTCTAGAGATTGGAAAAAACCTCACATTTTTATAAATCGTACTTTGATGGTACTTAATATGGTAGAATAAATCAAGAACAGTGTGACAACTGCACTGCATACTCCTACAGTCCAAACTGAAAGTTGACTGGGTGCCTTACAGATCTCATGATGGCTAGATTTACTTTTATTTTAATCTGAATCCTAAACACTCATGAATATATAAAAAAGACAGAGAAATTTCTGACAACTTTTAACTTGTTACATAACTCAATCTAATATCAGCTTTAACTCCAAGGCAAAATATTTTTTGATTTTGCAATATAAAAAGTGAAGTCAAATAGAACACAATTACTATTTTTCTAAGATGGCTCTTTGCCTATATCTCATTTTTTTTGTAAATTTATTTTTGGTTTTCCAGCTTATTTTTTAATTATGTGTATTTTACACAAGATAGAATAAGCTTTATTTTGATATTTGAACATGAAATGCATATCTAAATATGAATATTTAGCTCTGGATTACAGCTAGGGAGGCAGAGAAAGCATAATTAGTTTAATAACTGGTCAACATATTCAAGCCAAATATTTAGACTTGCAATGAATTGTTAAGTCAGAAGATTAAACCCTGAACAGTGCTTTTGAATCTCTGATGTGCTACTGAAAGCATAATAAGTTAACTGAGTATACTTCATCATTTGTCCTCTGTTCTGAATTACAACAACTGTATGTGCTTACAGATAAACTATAATGAGTATAAACTTGCAATCTGACAAGCCACAGTTATTAACAGACACCTCACTCATACAAAAAGCTCCATTTAGGTCATTCTTGAAGTTTAAAAGTACCTGTAAAACTAGTTGAAGGTTATGCTTCAAATATCTGTGAACATCTCATCACAGTTTAGGACATTTAATTTATTAGAGGATTTAAATATTTTTCTGTTCTGGAATCTTGACAGGCAGACTACATTAACCACATCTTTTTCTCACAAAAATGGCTCAAAAGGTAGAACATTTTCCACTCTAAAAATGAGATATCAGACTAACAAGTAAAAGGCGCTGAAATAAAACAGACAGCATTCTGTCATACTCTTTAACTGCTGAAACAGTACATGACACTAGTATCATCTCCTAAATTAGTCCCATCAAGTTCATACTTAAACTTTTCTTTGCAGACTTATATCTATGACATTGATCTTCATGCAGAGATTCTAGGCAAAAAAATAAGGTGGTCTGCTGCATGGGGGGTGTTGGTGTAAAATCAAGTTTTAACTCCAGGTGCTAACTTACTTCACTATAGTTTATCTAAGTGGGCAAGTGGATTTTTTGAGAAGAAGCTTTAACTACCCAATTAATTTTCTAATAAAGCTTCCAAACACATCCTCAACTAATGTGCAGTGGAGATTACTGATCTCATTAGTTTCCTTTTTTTTTTTTTTTTTTAATAACCACATACATATACTTACGAGTGCAAATAAACAGTGAGAATTCTCAGTGTCCCCAAACAATAATGAAGAGCAGGATCTCAACTAACATGCTCTCTTCAGAGGTTTAATTTGTGACTTTAGCAGGCAAAGAATCTGATGGGCTGTATGGGTCTGTCTGAACTGTCTCATGAAAAACAATTCATTCAACTTCAGTTGTGTATATTTGTACTTATGCTCCAGTTAAATAGTGCTAGCATGCTAGATTTTATTCCCTCCTCCTCCTTCTCAGTTACCATTATGCTACATTGTATCTTCATGTCATGGTAAAAATCATCCATTCAACTTCAGACAGTAGTACTGAAAATCCTCAATGAGTATTGCCTAGACCTTGCCAGAGGGGTATAGAAGAGTCAGCATGGCACTGGGACACTGCCAGCTACAGGGTAACTTCTCTGTTCAAAACCAAACACACCTATGGATCATTTACCATGGTACCACAGAAGGATTCAAAAGCCACGAGTAGCTCAAACTATTGGTGTAATGCATATCCTTCCCTTAATTTTTAGCTATTATTCAGCTTACTCCCCCTTTCTTCTTTCAAGACCAGCATTCCAATTATCATTAGCCCATGAGGATCTTCACATTCTCATTTGAATCTTACGTAGTAGTGTATCACAGCTGAGTTCCAAGAGAATGACCACCCACTGTTTTTTTTGTTTCTGAAGACCAGAGAGACGCTAACCAAAAAACTCCATAAAGGATGTAGTTCACAGAGTAAAAATAAGAATTCTCAAAGGTGTCAGAACAAGGTATTTCAGGTTTAAAGAGCAAAGTACAACATGAAATCTAAATATTTTTTTTTAAAAAAACACAACTTTGTCCCAAAAAATCTTAGATCATCAATATCTCAACATGTGTTAATGAAACTCAAATTTCATTAATCCAAGCTTATAATGTATGGGCTGGATGACCAGAGAGTGAGGTGAATTGAAAACTGGTTGAATGGTCAGGAGTGGTGATCAGTGGTATAAAGTCAAGCTGAAGGATGGTATCTAGCAGTGTACCCCAGCCAATACTGGGTCCAGTCCTGTTCAAGATCTTCATTAATGAGCTGGATGATGGGACAGAGTGTAGCTTCAGCAAGTCTGCCAATGGCACCAGACTGGGAGGAGTGGCTGATACGCCAGAGAATCACTCTGCCATTCAGAGGGACCTTGACAGGCTCGAGAGGTGGGCTGACAGCAACCTCATAAAGTTCAACAAGGAGAAGTGCAAAGTCCTGCACCTGGAGAGGAACAACTCCAGTCACCAGTACATGGTGGGGGCCACCCAGCTGGAAAGCTCCTTGGCAGAAAAGGCTTTGGAGATCCTCATGAACACCAGGCTGAACGTGAGCCAGCGATGTGCCCTTGCTGCAAAGGAGGCTAATGGCACCCTCAGCTGCATCAGCCAAAGTACTGCCAGCAGGCTACGGGGATCCTTCCCCTCTACTCAGCACTGGTGAGGCCACACCTGGAGTTTTGTGCCTAGTGCTGGGCTTTCAGTACAAGAGAGACATGGACATACTGGAGAGAGTTCAAAGAAGGGCCACAAAGATGATGAAATGACTGAAGCACCTCTTTTCTGATTAAATGTTGAGAGCCGAGAAGGCTCAGGGGTATCTTATCCATGTATATAAATACCTGAAGGGAAAGTGCAAAGATGACATAGCTAGGTTCTTTTCAGTGGCGCCCAGTGACAGGATGAGAGAGAATGGGCACAAACTGAAACATAGGAGGTTCCCTCTGAACATCTCAGTGAAAAAGTCTTTCCTGAAGGTGACTGAGCACTTGCCCAGAGTGGTTGTGGAACCTCCATCTTTGGAGACATTAAATAGTCACCTGGACATGATCCTGGAAGATCAGCTGTAGGTGGCCCTGTTTGAGCAGGGGGAGATGGATCAGATGACCCCCAGAGGTCCCTTCCAACCTCAACCATTGTGATTCTGTGAAACACTCACTGACAACTATAATCATATGGCCGTGCTTGAAATGACAGTTTAATATTTTTTTTTTAGAGAAGTATGAAAAGACAATGTCTTCACTAGTTACAACTTTTTCTAAACACAGATACTGTGATTGACTGGTCAGTGTATGCCATCTTTCTCACCAGCTATTCAAGTAAGGTTACAGATTAAGGGTGTTCACAGGTATTTGTTTCAACTTTCTTAAAGAAAACACTGAGCAGGGAAAAACAAGTTTCTTCCTACACTTAAAATTATTAATCTGTTTCTTCATTACTTTAAATCATTTGCTCTATATTTTTTGAAGAAAAAAACATCTGTTCACTTTTCAAACATTTATAAAGATAAATCAAGTTTATAAAGAAATAAACATACAAACTTTATTACAAATATGCCCACAGATTTCTACATTTGTGAATAGCACTAACAAGCAAAACTGTTTTATACAGGTAATATAAGTATTTTTAATGCTCTAACTGGTATAACTTACAGAACAAATTTCCAAAATACATACCTCTAAAAGCACTAATATCCCCATAGTGTACCTGAAGCACAAAAAATCTGCCACCTGTTTGCCCTCCAACTCTGAATCCAACACCTAAGAGAAGAAAAATGCATTGTTTTCAGAAACAGCAAAATGTAAGATTGTTCACCACTGCTGACCGTATCTAAACCCACAAATCACTGTAATGGCTTAGTGATGGGGTAGAAAATTTCACTGAGACACCAGTGACGAAAACATCCTGAAAACACCACTGTCACAACACATGTTCCCAGACTAAGAAGATAGGACCATAACTTAGATATTAATGAACAGATATCTGCTTTAAGCAAAGAGTTCTCTTAATAGAAGAATATCAATATAAATTTTGTATAACACTATATAAAAAAAAATAAAAATCAAGTTTTGCCATCCCTGTAGGATTTGGTAGAAATTTCATTTCTCATACAATCTGTGAATGACACAAACTGATTAACGTTGACTTCCTAAGAACACACTCAGAATGAAAAGATAAAAAGATCTGCAATAAAATATTTTGAGGTATTAATTAATATTGTATGCAAAAAAAAATCTTGTGGAAATTATGAAGTTATGTTTCTTGTTGACAAAGTAAGCACAGGAACAGAAGAAAATGGAGGAATTTGAAACTGAAATAGAAAAATATCACTATCACCAAAGGGGATTCTCTCAACTAATTCTACAGTGAACACTCTTTGAAATAAGAAGAGAAAGCAATTAATTCCTATTCGGTCAGTGAGCCCCACTAGATTAAACACTACACATAGCAAGGCTTACTTACAAACAGGACCACAAATGAGTATCATTATGAACGCTCTCTAAAAACCCAGTGCTTATGGACAGCTTAGAGACAAGAAAATTATTGCTAGCTGGAGTTTAACAGCAGAGCAAACACCAGGCTTCCTTAGAATCCTCCAAGCAACATTTTTTTTAACTTGACATTCTGATAATCAAATCAAATAACATTTGTGCTGGTGTGTAAGTGGATTATTAAAAATAAACCTCTTCATGATACTGTGCACTGCTCATGGTTATGAAAAGAGGCAGTAAAAGATAAAAGAAAAAATTTCTGTAATTCAAGGTATTTTCAGACTGAGGCTACATAGATGGTAGATATATCTAGGACCTTTAGCGGTTATTAGAAAGAACTACTCCCTGTCTTCCAGGCATACCCACTCCAAGTACCTTTAAAAATTATGATTGAATTCAGCAAAGTCATCTATCATACAAGAAAAGTGGGTACATAAACATCCTACTCAACCACATCAAAGCATTAAGAAATAAAAATCACATAAAATTCTCAAGTATACTGATTACACAAAAAAGTTTCGGTATTTAGGCCGAACTTGTTCGCGCTTTCCCAAACAAACAAAACTATTTTAATGAGTCTGTGTCCTACTGAAAGATATATAAATAGTATCCTTCCAGTAACATGTAGGAGAAAATGCAAGATTAATACTATATAAAACCAAAGTATTACATTATGACTGTTATCTATCCCTTAGCCTTTTTTTCCCCTGCTGACACCCATGTTACAGCAAATAGCATGACAGAAAACCCCAAGTGTAGCAGAATATATTCATAGTTTGTAAGATTGACGTCTATATAGTATCCATCAACGAGACATAAAAACATTACAGGAGATTCATAGATATGCCAGGTGCTTACTTCCACATCTTCTCTCCCTTGACCCTGCACACAAGAGCTTCACATTAAAGGCACAATACCTTTGGGTAGCTGGGTGGGTGGAGCATTTCTTGCCCAAGCATATAAAATGTTAGATTTGTCTTTGCATGTTCCTTCATCACAGTCCCTAAAAATATGAGGAAAGAAAACAAAAGGCATATAATTTTTAAATTCTGAAATCAGAAAAGGGCAGGTGAATTACATCCAAACCCACTAATTTTAAGATCCTAATGTAGACAGACTGCTTTCCTAGATACTCAATTTTTTTTTTCTCCTCCCTCTGCCTTAAGATCATGTTAAGCATACAGAGTCAAAACCATAAACAGTTCTGATGGTCCCTGCCAGCCTAGTAATTAAAAAGGAATCTTGTGTGAGAATGCACTATATGGCAATTTCTAACACTATTAGCTGAAGTGCCACAAAATTACAGTGGTTGACACATTTACACAGAGGGACAGGACTCATATGCAGAACAGAAAAAACCCACAAGCCATCAAAGCTTTAAGTCAAAATTGATATTTTAAATAAATTTTTAAAAGGTGGTAAGAAGCTGCATATGAATCAAAAAGTGTGAATCAACAGCTAAGGAGGCACTCACGCTCTTCCATGTACTTAATACAAGCTTACTGCTTTAAGTTAATTTTTATTCCACTGCACAATTTTTGTGGTTTTCATAAACAAAAAAACCCCCACACATGAAAAAAAAGCTGGGGTGGGGTGGGGGTGGGGGTGGGAGAAAAAAGAAGCATTTGCCAGGTTACAGACCCCAAACAGGTCACAAATACTTAAAAAACCTGAGAGTTCTATCATTATCCATAGTCTCTGCAGCTACACCTTGCAGGTAACACTAAGGGTGAAGTGTGAAAGATTCCCAAAGCTCTAGACACCTTAAATCTTAAAGAACTGATAAACTCAGGGCACAGACACTACCGAATCTGTAAAAGACCAGTCAGACACAGTAGTACAGATAGCACATGTACCCGGACCACATCCAAGAAGGCACTAACTGTTGTACATGAGTATAGGTTACAGGATGAAATACATGGATAAACAGGGGGTGCTAGAGGACTTCCTAAACACTCAACTAGAAGTCACTTCTCACTCTCAATACTCTATTAGGGAAAAGGGTTATTTACAGAGTGCAACAGCACCTTCTTCAGAGTGGCAAAGCATCGGGGGCACTAAACACAGAGTTCAGAAGTCATTTCACAGGCACAGCATACATAGGTATGACTTTTAGAAAGCCTCAGCCTGAAACTATTCAGACTACATCAACTGATGAAAGCCAGGTGCAATGAAAGTTGCCAAGGTTTCAGTCCAAAACAAAATGGTATTGCTCCTTTTCTGTTTATTACTGCTGATAAAATCAGACCTGGGAAATCTTTTGTACATATAAAGCACAGTATCAGTCACCTTAAATACCTGGAAAAATAGTCTCACAGTGTGAAGATGAGTGAAAAAAACATAAAAGACCAGGACTTTTAATGGATGCAGGCTCAGTAATGTTTCTGTTGAGGATGTCTGAGCCATATGTGCCACTTTTCAGAACAAATGACAATGCTTTCCAGGCTGCACTCCCAGGGATAACCAAATGCTCTAGTGAACAGGTAAAATCTCTTCAGTGAGACCTTTTATGTTTTTTGTGATCCCAGAGAGCCTTACTAAAATATAGGTGCTGCGTTTCCTTCTGACAAAAGGCATTGCCATAATCATCCAAGACAAAAGGGAACAATGCTGCTTCTTCCTTCTCATGTTTTGCTCATAACACATATTTCTAGACCTTTACAACTACTAATTTGGTCATCTCCCTCTTCAAACATGCCCCAATGGACAAGTAAAAGTTATTTCAGCATAGGTGAAATGTTTCATGACTACCAATTCATACAGCTGCAGGTAAAAGCTGTGAAGCTTCCCAACCCCTATAACCCAAAAATCCAAAAAAAGACTTCAGGAATCTAACCCAGTATTCAGCTGCACAGTTTGGAAATGTGTTGAAGAGACGGGTTAGGAGGAACAACAGCAGGAACTACAAGTACAGTCACAGCTTTACCACCACACTCTGGGCTAGCTAGCCTTGGTTTACACCACCGTATATTTTAGTACTACATTAGACAGGTAAAAAACCCTGCATAAACAGTTACAAACTTTCCTCCTGAAACACTGGCTGATGGAGGAGGAAGACTGTATGGGAGAAAGATGAAATACATGCACTGCTCTTCCATTATGCTTAAAAAATGGCCAACCCTCTCATTTAACCATCAATGCTGATCTTGAAACTGATTTTTCAGAAAAATACAAACCTAGAAGAGATTACAAAGAAGAGTTAAGATAACTGATGAACAAATTAAAAGCAGGAAGCTAGTAAAAAGGATAGATTAAAAAAAAAAAAAGCAATCACTGAAATTCATAGTTTCTTGGCATGTAAAAAAATCATGAGATTCTGAATGGGTGGCACAGGATGCCTTAAAAAACAGACTATAACTGCATCCTATATATACAGTATTGTACTTAACAACTAATTTTGACTGTGGTCAAAATTTTAGAATGAGGTGGGCAGGGGAGGGTATGTAAATAGAGCTTACTGCCTGCTTCTCAGATCTTTGTTTTTTGCAAACTGTCCTGGACATTTCAAAGGCATTTTCCTCAATCTTGGGTAAGCTCAGGAGCTGGGTTTTTTAATGGCACTGGGGTTTTGACGGATTACCTAGACTGAAAGCAAAACATTTCACTATGTCAGCAATACCAGGTTTTGGCTATCCTTGTAGGATATTTTCATTGTTTGGGAAAGCAAAGACTTTATTTATTTGTTTGTTTGTTTGTTTGTTATAACCCACTCCTTGATTCTAACGAAGACTTGTAAATTGCTCCCACTCTCCCCTAAGCAGTGAATTACAAGTATTTCACTGAACCACTCGACATATTTTGCCACCTTTACTGAACTACTGATATTAAAAGCTTCCAAACCCACGCCCTCCTGCCAACAGAAGCAGCTAGTCTGATGGAGGAATTATCGAATGCTGACTTACAACCTGTACTTTATACATTTGATTAGATTAGGTATATATTTAAAATTGCCCCGCCTGATCTCAAAAGAAAGGCTACATTTATGGATCATCTCATTCATGGGAGTTCATTTCAGTGTTAGGTTTGACACAGCAAGAGACCTGTCTCGCCAGGAGACTCAGAAGTTCTGAATAATTCAACATTTTTAAAAAAATCATTCACATGTATAATCTATGGACAATCTGCACTTTTGATGAATCAGTTCCGGCATGCTACTTTGATTTCAGCACAGTTTATCAGCTCAGGTAAAACTTGTCATAGTGGCTGAACAATTTTTAGGGCCAATTATGATCAAGAAAAAGAAGCATTTACACCTTTTTGCAAACTTGCAAAACTTGAAAAATTACTGGAGAGATTATTAATTTCTACCCACCTTTCACATGCTCTTCACTTTGCTTCCCCACACCTGTTTTAATGGCATTAAGAGCTTCCCTCTGTCCTCACTGCTTTGACATTTTGAAGGGCAAGTCAACTACCAGACACTTGACAGAGAGAAATCTTCCTCAGCTTACCTCTCACTCAGTTTCTTTCTGGACACCTGATACACCACCTTCATACACAGAAAACCAGCCAGTTGTAGAGGAAGCCTTGACTTCTTGGCATCCAATGGCACCCTGTTAACTATAGCTCCTGTCTCCTTGTCTCCTCAGTCAATTAGTCGTGGAGAATCAGAAAAAAGACCTTTTTCTCCACCTTACAGAGGAGTTAGTTAAAAAACAATAAACATTTCACGTGTGGAAAGACTGGAATATTATACATTTCTTCTTCCTTCCAAATTTTTCTGCTTTTCCAAGAAATTACAACACTGGAAAAGGTTTATGTGGAAACAATTAACACAGAAGTAGTTAGGTAATATAATAAAAGCAAGTTGGAACTCTTACCAGTAATTTTTGGTAGAAGAGGGTTCATTACATCCGAAGAGTAACATGTGATGGACAGTGTCCATGCTGGCATGAGGCTTAAAGTCAACTGAAAAAACAAATGACAAAACAAATAAGCTATCCTTACTCTCACCATATTACGTAAGCAAGAGCTGTCTGTGCCATTTTTTTCTCTATACTACTAGAAACAAGGTATGTGTCCCCACTAATTTATTTACCTTCTGCATTTCACTTACAAGGTTTCCTTAAATTCCCATTCAACAGCCTGTCTCCCAAGCTATAACACTGTACCTCACATCATTAAGAAAAAGAAATTCCAAGGTCCCACTCAAAACTGCTGTTTGTCTCCAAAAGTTAAACATGACACTTAGTAAACTTATCAGTGTATCCCAAACCACAAAAATTTACAGTCTGGTTTCAATCTAGCTTCAAAATTCACTTGTGATTTAATAAATACTTTTCTACTTATTTCGTATTTTGTCATCAAAAACACAAACAGTAAATTATAGTTAATAGCAATTAACAACCTATGCATTAGTAATATCTTCTTCCAGCATTCCACCTGGTTTACATTTTTGCTGCATATTTCTTGGGACAACAGTTACAAGAAGGGATTATGATTTATTCTCACTAATATGTCAAACTCTTCACAATGGAAAACAAGATCTGTTTAAAGTCAACAGAATTTCATTGCTCAAATAGATCTCTGTATTAGAAATTTAGATGAAGATGAATGCTCAGCACTCAAATGTCTGTTCATATCCCATGCCACAAACTAAACACTGTTTTGGTTTCACAAATGGTTAGTTTCGCAAATGGTTGGTTTCGTAACCTGGTTAGCATAGGAAAAAGTATATCAATATCACACTGTAGTAACATTGACCATGAATGTACAATGATGGCATTTCTAGAAATAAAGCAAGCTACATCGTGTAATCTCCTTTATTACTACTGAAATGATGTGTCAGATGCAGGGAATGCATTCTTGATGTAAGACAGAGAAAGACCTTGCAGAGTTTTTAACCTTATCCTACAGCAGAAATTCCAAAGCCCTTACATGTACATAGACACTGAGGAGCCTTCAAGTATCTTTTAGCTCTTGTAAGAATAGGCCGTTGGTGAAGCTGCAAACCACACTATTCTGCTCCTAAACTCTGCAGATTTATCTGCACTCTGAACTCAGTAGTTAAACATGCGGCTGAGGCAAGGTTCCTGGAATGAATGATGATGTGTATTTAAGAAATATCAAACAAAAGCCTTATATTCCTTATATAAGCACAACCTCCACATTTTACATTAATGAACAGAACATTACTCAATACTTCAATACTTTTTTTTTTTATGCATGAAGAAGTGCTACAAAATGATTACTAAAATAGCAGTAACAATTTTGGTATATACACTTAACCTGAATAAAGTCTTACTTACTTTCCTGACCAAGTTCTACTTTGAATTATGAACTCCAGGAAAAAAAGGAATGAAGAGAACATGATATCAGTTTAATCTTAATAGTGTCTAGTTAAGCTATGTATTAAAAAAATTAATTTCTAAGAAGTTAATTTTTGCAAATAACAATTCAATGATATGAAGTTGATATCCTTTAAGAAAAAAACAAAAACAAACCAACAACTGCTGTCTTCTCTATAATGGAATTAACTTTAAAAAAATTTATCAACATACCAGTGTCCACAATTTGGCAGACTAGGGAGACATTAGAGGCCTTCAATATAGTGAAGTCACCATTTCTTGGCAATAGGAAAGTTTATATATGTCATAGTAGAATAACAAACGCACAGCATTTCATAGTCCAAGTATTGAAAAAAACCCAAACATTTCTACAGCACAATCTGAGAGACAGGGACTTACCATGAGTCAGTAAGAAAAAGACACATTTAATTACTGGTCACCCATGTGAATGAATGTAAAGAGGTGAAGATGACAGTCAAAATTCTTGACTGAGTGGCTTGCTTTCATACTCAGTTCTTACGTGTCTGTAGAGCACCCTTTAGCTATCGCTACAGCTCAGTAGTCAAAAAATTATTCCTATCAATGCCTGCACCATTAAAGATGCCATCTAGTTTCTGGTTTGGCTACTTGTTCATAAACATTCATCAAACATGAGGTGGAAGAAGAAAGCTGAAATATGTTTTTAAAATATAACTAGAATGGTATTTTCTTGAAAAAGTTACATATTAATCTTACTCATGAATATCTTTTAGATATTAATCTCACAGCCATTTCATTTCACAGAAGCAAAAGGTATGTTCCCAACACTAACCTAAATTTAAACCAACCCATCCCACAAACAAACACACTACCCCACCCCACCGCCACACACCTCGACAATTTATTGGCATTTATAGCCTTTTGGGACAGAAAAACAACTAGTTCAAAGAGAAATCTCAGCCTTGACAGTCTGACCCTCCACTAAAGGTTATCATACAGAAAACTAACAGCATCTGCAAAAATACACAGATGCATCCCTGAATGAGATATTTAGGGCAAAACTTGGTCTACTCCTCCTTCTAGTTGCTAACATTTCATAAATATGTTTGATGAGTTCCTTCTTTTGATAATGTCTGAGAACTGACTCCGAACAAATTGGTAACTTCTGGTATAGTATCCTTCCAGCTCTGCAGTATGGAGTTGTCCCTGTGTGAGCACAGCTGCCTACTGGCTTTAAATCTTTAGGGGAACAGCAAAGCTGAAGTCTGGATTCAAAGTCCTCAAATAAAAATTTACTGAAAAACACTGAACCAAGTTACAGAAAATATGTTCTACTTACTAACAAATGTAGTACTGCCTGCATACAATGCTAAAAGAGAAGCTCTCTCTCCCAAGGTCCTTATATTTCACCAATATGCAACAAAATTATCCTGCTGTAGGTTCTATACTGTGTTGAGGAGGAAAAAAGGGGGTAAAAGTAGGAAAACAAAAAAGGAATAAACAAGTAATTCTTGCTCAAAGTTTAAGGACATTTTGTCATGAAAGTGTCCTTTTAAAGCATAAAAAAATCACAGAAAACAGAAGGCATTTACTTGGCAGTACTATGTGCTAATAAATCAAACTGGAGGCAGAAGATGTAGGTTCTGGTCTCAGCTTTACCACCACACTGTCTCAGAAACCCAGGTTATCGTTTTAATTCTTTGTATTCACAGCTCCTCATGTTGAAGCTCTTCAGAAAACACAGTGTCTTCTCAATACATCACTGAACAACAACCCAGAGTGACAGTGCAAACATTAAGTTTTTAGATGGTTCTATCACAAAGTAAAACAGTAATTAATGAAAGTTAATCATACCATTTATTGGCAGTGCAACAAAGGCAGATTCTGCTTAAACCATATAAACGTAGAAACCATCCTTTTAAAAAGAAGTATTTAATTCTCTGTGTGTCAATCTTCTATGCTTATTTCTTCTATGCTTATTTACATCACACAAAACATTCATGCAAGCAACTTAATAGTTAGCTTTACAACACTTAATAGTATTAAGTATTTAAGCAAAAATTCCACTAAGCATCTAATTTCTTAGATGATACCTACTGTAAAAATCACCTTCCTGAGAAGAAGATTTAAATTGTTATCCAGGTATTTTATAAGATAGGTCAGTTTGCATTCTTTACATTGTCTATAATTAGATATGTTTGAGTATACTCTTTCCAATGATTAGGTAACTGCTGTTGATTTTGAAGAGTCCAACCTGACAAATTCTTCCCACTGAAAACACTTTGCGGTGACTTTACTGAAACAAGATGGAAGTGATCACATGCCTGCAACTGACCACTTGTCCGTCCATTTTGATGGAAGGGATGGAAGACAAAAAACCCAAACAGTTTTGTTTTACTTTCAAGGTATCCAAATATGAGGTTGTAAGCAATGTTATCATAGCAAAACTTTATGTTCACAGAACAAGTTGGGGTTTTTAAAATTTTGCTCAAGTTCCTCTTGCTATTCAAAGCTGAAAACTAGAATGGTTTCTTTGTCCAGGCCTCATTCTGTTTTGTAATGAATGACATGTACTCAAGCACAGTGATCAGTGGAAAGGCGATCAAATCCTACAAAGATCTGGTGAAAAACATGAAAACACCCGAAACATAAAAGTTTCTCAGACTTCAGAAAAAAATAATGGGTTGCCTTGCATGATTCACAGAGACTTTGCATAACTACCACTTCTAAGAAAATTCTTTTAGTAGGTCCTTTTAAACATATACACTGCTGAAAGGTGTTTATGTGGCTTTAACACATGTAAACACTAAATGACAGAACTAAAGCACTAAATAAAACTTGCTTAAGCAGTAGGTTAGTATGCCTTTCTATGAATCACTTGAAAGCAGAAAAGTCTATTGCACACACTGCACAGCAAGTATAGTCTGCAAGAGAATGAGAACACACTCCCTTTTATGCTCATTTTTCTTTCTGGGATAAAAGTCACAGCCAAAATGTGAGGTCAGGTTCTGAATTCTTTAAAAAACAGATATACAGAGAAAGCACTGGAAAATCTTCTCCATTTCTTTAGTTAATACAATACATCATGAAAATCTAAACACATTATTCTATTTCTGAAAGATTTCCACAAGGAAATCCACATGTACAACAGTCCCGTAATACACTACAATAAAAACTATGTAAGATTCCCACCATATTTATTGTAAGTGCAGATATCCTAAAATGCAACAAAAGAGTAAAGGAAGAAAAATATAGACATTTTAACCTCTCATTGTTTTCTTTTTTGTCAGTTTATAGTGTGTTCTGATAGTGAAAGTATCTTCAGCCAAACCAACATGCCTTCTTTCTACCTGAACAACTGTATGTTCACAAGCAAGGCAACTAAAAGTACCTCAAAGACTTTCTGAACAGATGGTGGTATTTTGTTGATTTATATGATCTTGGCATTTGTACACTACTACAGTATTTCCTTGTGTTTGCCATATTATTCATGCCATGACATTTTAAAAAAGGGGGAAAAAAAGAAGGGGAGAGGGCTTGATTGGTTTTGGTTTTTTCCCCCCACAGAAGTAATATCTTACTGCAGCCAACACTGACTGTAAATGCAAAGGATGTACAGCCTGTACTAGCACATAAATAGTCAGCTCAGTAGAGCAGAATTAAGTATCTGGCCACAGACAGAAAGCCAATACTTTACAAATGGAACTGTCAGTTACTGACTGCCAGAGGCATCTGCATGCACCTCCTTAACTACTATTACTCATTAATCTCTACAGATACAATTTGTTTTATTGACTCTAAGTAGCGCTTTCTAGTTTGTTTCTGCATTAGCCATGATGAATGCATTCTGGAAAGTCTGATGATCAAATATTAAGTCAGTAAGAGTGAAATAAAAAAAATAAAATGCTCAGGTTCCTAAAATGGCTTGCTTAGGTTCTTTCAGTCAATCAATACTCACCTACATAGGCTTCATCATCCACTGGAAGGGGTACTGACATGCAGAGGTAGGTATCGGACTATTAGAAGACAAAAGAACAGAAATTACCCTTAAAACGGGAACATTTAGAAAGAAAAGAATAGAAACAAAGCACCAAAATTCTCCACACTTTCTGAAGATTAAATGGGAATGCTGAACAAGCTCATATATAAAAATTATATACTTCTAAGCCTTAGTGCTGAATTTATTTGTGGTGGTTAATAACCACTACTTCCTCCCCTCCCCACTAAAAATTTGAAGGGATAACAGTACCCTCCCAATGTCCAAATAAACAGCATGAATCAATTAATATATTATCTAAAGTGAAAAGGATTACTGACCTTATGTTTCACTGTTTTCTTGGTATGCACTATTTTCTCAGTATTTATAAACTTACTATAAGAACCAATGGCACTTGAGTTGGAGAGGGAGGTGTTGATCTCCTCGCTCTGGTGACCAGCAATAGGACACAAGGAAACACACTGAAGCTGCATCAGGCAAAGTTAATGTTGGACAAAAGGAAAAGGTTCTTCACTGAGAGAGCGGTCAGTCACTGGAACAGGCTCCCCTGGGAAGTTGTCATGGCACCAAGCCTCTCACAGTTCAAGGAGTGTCTGGACAATACTCTTAGTCATATGGTTTAGTTTTAGGTAGTCCTGCAAGGAGCAGGGAGTTGGACTTGATGATCCTTAACGGTCCCTTCCAACTCGAGATATTGTGATTCTATAACTTCATAGCTAAATAATTTCTACCTATAACAGTATTTCACCCTATTCCAAGACTCATATAACTGGACCACAAAGTGTAAAAATGCTGTGCCACTGTAGCAGCAATAATAGAAATACATTTATTTTTGATTCATGCATCTAATTCTATTATGATCAATAAAAATACTCTTTCCTGGGCACTCTAATAAGTATCACATGTCCTTTAAAACAAAGAACAGAATCAATTAATAAAAAAACCCACCCACAATTCGATACATTATTTTCTTGCCTAAGCACTGTAAAAGACTAACATATTCCTGAAGCAATCAGACAAACAATCTGCACAAGACACAGTGTAAGGGGTATTTCTAGGCAGAAAACTTTCAAGAATGCCCTCTTCATGATGTTATAGTTGTTTTGTTGCCTGAAAGACTTTAAAACACTCATCATGTAAGCTTTGAAGTATTCCTGGATTAAAATATGAACAATTAAAATGCAAACACAGCAAAATCTGAGCAATGGCAACAAACAAAATCCAGGGTTTCCATCTACAAGTACCTTGGATAACTCTTGAAGAACTTGCAATATAAAGTCCTAGAGAAGAGTAAAATCTAAATTTGGCAATCATATTGCAAGGAAGGCTCTCACTTTGTACATCAAAACCGCCCAGTCATTAAATCATTGGAACAGCACAAAACTACAGTTTTAAAATGTTACAGAAACAAAAAATTAAGTCAGATTCATCTTTGTCAGCTGAATGAAGAATAAGTCCTTGTCCTGGTTCAACTAGGATAGGGTTAAGTTTCCCCAGCAGAGAGAAAGGGGGAAGGGATCTCCAGCCAGGTTATTCATACCATGCTGACGTCAGGTCCAGGGGCGGGAAACTTTGATTTTACTTTCTCTTTGGCTTGTTCATGGTGGGGAGCTGCTCTGTGACCATTTCGTGGTATTTCTCATTATATCGTTTGTCTTGTTCACTGTTATTGCTGTTTATTGTTGTTATCATTGCCACTGTTGTTGTTCAGATTGCTCATCACACTGCTGTATAAAATTTCCTCTTATTTTAACTAGGGGTTTGTGCCTCACTTCCAGCCTGAACGGCTGAGGGCAGGTGAGGGGCAACAGCAACGTGCTCTCCGGTCCTGGCAGGGCCTAAACCAACACAGCCATTATTGGCGCACCAACGTGGGGCACAAGAGGGTTGAAATAAGGTTCAAAAAAGGAACAGACCCTGACAAAGGAACAGACCCTGACAAGAGTGTGTTAGAGCAATCTGTTGGGTGTAATTTTTCTGTTTTTATTTGTGTTTGTTTGATAAGAAAATGTTTGCAATGACGGCCCATTTGCTTGCGTGGTGGGGCTGGATTAATCCAGTGTATGATCCCTGTGGTGAAGTGGAAAATGTATAAAGGGTCTTATGTTGTTATAGGGGCTATTGAATGCTTATAATGACTTTCTATCACTGGGGGGGGTGGGGTGGGTCGGTACCTATTTGCCGTTTGGGCTTTTGTTAGGGATCTCACCCCCTCTATGGGTGAGCCAGGGGACGAGATCCTCTCAGATTTGGGCAGTTTCAATTATCCTTGGAGCCTGCAGGCCAGTGCGATTGTGGCACAATGCCTTCTGAATGTCTGCCTGATTTCGATTTTGGCTATGTGGCATTTCTCTAACAATAGCAGTGCCCGGAAACGTGTCCCAAGGTCAGATAATAGTGAGTGGCAAGGGGTGTGGGAAAAGATAGTCAAAGGCCTGAGTCGGTGGGCACCTCCAATGCTTTGGAATTTCACTCCCGAAAAAATGCAGAGCCCTGATAAACTGATGGAGTGCTTAGAAAGGGTGTGTTACCAAGCTGGCAAAAACCAAGAGACACAAATCGCTGCAATGTGCTGGGGACTTGCCCATGCATACTGTGTCTTCCGTAATACCACCCAATGCCATCAAGGGGAAGAAAAGGCCACAGAACCTGAGAGTGAACTCACTGAAACTGCCTGTTCCCCCGGTCCAGATACTGAGCCAGTCTCAGTCACCTCCACCAGCACAGCGACTGAGCCACAGCGCCAGCCAGTGCGGGTATCAGTCGCCCTGATATAGAAAATAAAATATACCAGAAGGTCAGTTTGCAGAGTGAAAGATGAGGATGAGCCAGGCCCATCAGGGGAACAGGAGGAAGGGCCAGAGGTGATCATCCAATCTCTATCCCCAACTGAGCTGTGAGATTATGCGGAGATATTTCGGCCGCCTGAGAGGTGAGCAGATTTGCACCTGGCTGCTCTGATGCTGGGACAATGGAGCCAGTGCTTTGGAGATGGAGGGGAGAGAGGCCAAGCAGCTGGGATCTTTGGCCAAGGAGGCTGGCATTGATAGGGAAATAGGAAAACAGACTCAAACCCTCAGTCTTTGGAGGCGACTCCTGCTCAGTCTAAGTGAGAGGCACCCCTACAAGGAGGATATACTATGTCAGCTAGGCAAATGGACCAACACTGAGAAAGGCATCCAGAACCACAGGGAACTGGCTGTGTTTGAGATGATCTATGGTGATCTGAATAGTGAGCAGTCACCCATGTACCCAGATCAGATCTCTTGCACATACCTGATATGGCGAAAGTTCTTGAAAATTGTGCAAGTAGCACTGGCAATAGTGTCCTGGTGGACAGACATCCAGACTCTAACAGTGGATGGAGTGGTTGGCAAGTTCCAGCAATATGAGGGAAATCTCCCTTCACCTCAACATTCCTGGGTCTCAGCTGTGGAGGAAGTGTCTCAGAGGGTCCAGAAAATGGAAGCGGACATGTCTTACGTTCCACCTGCACGGGCTGATGTCTCAGCCATTAAAAGTAAACGTTTCCCCACCCAAGAGAAAGGCAGTAGAAGGCACACACCACGAGGTACCCTATGGTTTTTTGTCTATGACCATGGAGAAAACATGAGGAGTTGGGATGGACAACCGCCCTAGCTGCATGAGTAGAGCAGCTGAAAGGGAAGACCATCACAAAAGGGGAGTCCTCCAAGAAGAGCGCAGCTCCAGTATCCAGTCAGAAATCCCCCAGGCAGAATAGAATGGCCAACGTTATGTCTGACTCTCTTGAGGGGAACAGTAAATCATTCTTGCAAGAAGTGAGTGATGATGAGCAGGATTAGAGGGGCCCTGCCTCCAGCCAGGTGAAGGAAAGGGATAATCGGATTTACTGGACAGTGTGGATCCGATCGCCTGGCACATCAGACCCACAAGAGTATAAGGCTTTAGTGGACACTGGCGCACAGTGTACCCTGATGCCATCGAGCTACAGTGGGTTTGAATCCATCTGCATCTCTGGAGTGACAGGGGCATCCCTACAGCTGACCCTAAGGGAAGCTGAAGTGAGCCTGACTGGGAAGGACTGGCATAAGCACCACATTGTGAATGACCCAGATACCCCGTGCATCCTGGGCATAGACTGCCTCAGGAGAGGGTACTTCAAAGACCCAAAAGGGTACCGGTGGGCTTTTGGTGTAGCTGACCTGGAGGAGGATGAACAGTTGTCCACCTTACCCGGCCTCTCAGACTGTCCCTCAGTGGTGGGGCGGCTTAAGGTTGAGGAGCAGCGAGTGCCGATTGCTACCAGGACAGTGCACCAGCGGCAGTTCCGCACCAATTGAGATTCCCTGGTCCCCATCCATCAGCTGATACGTCAACTAGAAAGCCAGAAGGTGATCAGCAAAACTCCCGCTTCAACAGCCCTATATGGCCAGTGAGAAAGCCCAGTGGCGAATGGAGGCTAACTGTGGACTACCGTCGCCTGAATGAAGCTACGCCAGCAAGGAGTGCTGCAGTGCTGGACAGGCTAGAGCTCCACTATGAACTGGAGTCAAAGGCAGCCAAGTGGTACGACACGATTGATATTGATAACGCATTCTTGTCCATTCCAGTAATGCCAGATTGCAGGCCACATTTTTTGTTCCCTTGGAGAGCCATCCAGTACACCTGGAATCGATTGCCCCAGAGGTGGAACCACAGCTCCACCATTTACCATGGACTGGTCCATACTTCACTGGAGAAAGGTGGGGCTCCAGAACACGTGCAGTACATTGATGACATCATTGTATGGGGGAACATAGCTGAGGAAGTCTTTAAGAAAGGGAAGAAGATAACTGAAATCCTCCTGAAGGCCAGCTTTGACATAAGCAAAATAAAGTTAAGGGGCCTGCAAGGGAAATTCAATTCCTATGTATAAAAAGCCAAGATGGGTGTTGCCACATCCCAATGGAGGTGATGAACAAGGTAACAGCCATGGCCCCACCAACCTCTAAAAAGGAGACTCAGTCTTTCCTGGGCGCTGTGGGGTTCTCGAGGATG